GAGAAATTTATATTTATAAGGGAAACCTACACTTGTAAGGGTATCTCCCTCTGTCCCAGGGAAAGAAGGATGATAAATGGCCAGAATCTTTCACCAATGGAGATAATGACTTAAATCTGCACAGCAGCCATTCCCTTGATTATTCTGCTTTTCCAGATAACCTCCCAGAGCACCCCCAACATCTTTTGTCTTTAGCCGAGGGGGCAATTGAGGTGGTGGCTTGGGCCATTCCCTGTTGGGAGTTATTTCGTATTCCTGGGTCTCTCCCTGCACTGTTCTCCTGTTAATCTGTTTTTTTTTTATTATGGGAGTGGCCTTCAGCCAAGAATCTAGAAGCATGGAGGCAAACTAGTTTTCCTCTTCTCCATAACTTTGATTCCAAATGGGAAATGTGCGCCTGAATTAGTTTTGTAGTGTGGTGTCCAAAGGTACTTTTTTGTAATGTTATCACCCATCTTGCCATAGCTTTTATTTCCCTTTGAAAAGGAAGGATACACTCGGGTGTCTTTCCCAGAAGAAGGGCAGATGATCATAAGCCTGATCGACCTTGTCAGGTGAACCCTAGGCTGTGTCTCCCCAGAACCCCAGAGATGATGTAAGCTGCAAGTGTTTTCTAGGAATCACTCCGGGACTTTGTGAGCATCCCAGGCCAGGAGAACCGTGCTGTGTCCAAGATGCAGCATCCTTACTCAGCTCCCACTCAGATGCAAGCTCCTGGTCCCTTCTTTCCATTGTCCCACCAGGACTGACCTCTGAAATCATTCACCAGTTCCAGGGACTCTCTTCTGCAAACACAGGGCCCCTGTGCACAACCCAGGACTGCCGTGGGGTCTCTGGTTAAAGGGCATGGATTGCATGAGTGGTCCCCAGGGTCACCCCTTCCTTTGCTCAGGGATAGGTATCAAACTAAAGAGATTTGCATTGGAAGCTCCTGGAGGCCTTGGTTAGTCCCCTGCATGTCTGTGAAACACCTGCCACAGGTGTACAGAGCAACAGGAATCTATCCTCACAGTCTGCAAGCCAGGAACCAAGGCGTCAGCAGGTGTACTTCTGCCAGAGCCTCTGGGGGAGGGTCCTTCCTGCCTCTTCCAGCTCCTGGTAGTTCTGGATTCCTTGACTTGTGGCTACATCACTCCAGTCCCTGCCTGTCATCATATGGTCATCTTTCTCCCTGGCTTTTAAGAGGACACTCGGATCACCCGGGATGACCTCATCTCAAGATCCATAATCTACATCTGCAAAGACCTTTTTCCAAATGAGGTCTCCTGCACAAGTTTGTGGGGAGAGGACCTGGGTATACTTTTCCCAGGATTGGGGGAGGAGGGGCGCGGATCTTGGGGTGGTGGTTACTATTCAACTCACCACAGGCTCCTACTCCTACCTTCTGAATCCTCCCAGGCCTCTGGCATATCAGTGGCAGAGGTTGCTCTCCACCCATTCACGGGGACCAATGATCCAGGATCCATGCTGATGGGGTCCTACACAGTGGGCATACGTAACCCTGACCTACAGAAATCCTTAGAAACAACCCACACTCAAACATGCAGAAGAAAATAAATCTCTATCAGAGGAGAGAACAGCCAGCCAGCACTTTAATGACTGGAAACCAGAAGAACTCAGGAGGCTTATGAGAAAAAAAAGTTTAAAAAAAAAACATTTTTAAGTCTCATTACTCCGTGAAGCAGATCTTGCAAAGACATCTGAAGGATACCAGTGCGGCAGCCAACTTTAGTCAATGACTTGCCATATGCTAAGGTCTTTGCCTCATGTGGGGACACGTGAGGCAATCGTTATTATCATCCTTTTACAGATGGGGACATGGAGGCACCATCTCACCACAAGTGTGGTGGGGCCCTGTGAGTGGGAGGCATGGGTTGTCCATGACTGAGTCACTGTTGGGGTGTCCAGCTGTGGAAAGGAGCACCCTGGATTGTAAGGAAATAGATTGATTGACAATAATTTGTGCATGGCTTCCCATTCCTACTTAGCGTGTAAGTACCTTTGGTGTCCTCCCAGCGAAGTCTTCTATGGGACTAAGGTACTTAGGCAGCCACTCTGGTTCGGAAAAGGTCAGGCCAGAGCCCATCTGGCCACACCAGCTCTACTCGGAGCGATTCGAACAATAATTTGTTCCTGCCAAGGTGGCATTTTTCCAATTTGAGTCCAACATTGTTCTGAAGCGAGTGCTATCCCCCAGGGCGCCTCCTGCATAGATCTGTAGCAGATGACAAACCAACAATATCATCTAAATAAAAAAATCCAGCCTGGGCTTAGTAAATTAATCCTGACAAGAAGAAATCGAATAATCTTAGGGAGGTGGCAAGAGTGCTGATGCAGCCAGATGGCTTTCTTCCGAGCCTGTGGGTCCTCAGTGGCAGAATAGAAACATAACCTGCCTCTGGGTTACTGACTTGGTTAGGAAGTTAACACCTGCCACTTCTGTGTGGGTGAATCAGAGTCGGATATGGGCCTCTCTGCAAATTTAACATATTTTCACTAGGGGAAAGAGCGAGAACACACACACCAAAGCCGCAGGGAGCTACTCTTTCTTACCTTGTTCCTTTATGGCACTTAAAAAAAAAATAACCTATGCTTTTCACAACTCCCATACCAAGATAAACTCTGCTTTCTCTCTCTTTTTAAATATATTTTATTGATTTTTTTACAGATAGAAAGGGAGAGGGATAGAGAGTTAGAAACATTGATTGGAGAGAAATACTGATCAGCTGCCTCCTGCACACCCCTTATTACATATAGATGTGCCTACAACCCAGGTAGGCACATCTTGACCGGAATTGAACCCAGGACTCTTCAGTTCACAGCCTGACGCTCCAGCCAAACCAGTTAGGGCTCTGCTCTCTCTTTATGGTTCTTAGAGCATGAATTCCAAAGAGGGTTCTTAGTGAGAGTAAAAGGCATGTTCTGACTCAATATCCAGGGTCAGTCAGAGACCTTGGTGTTGAACACAGGAGCATGAGTGAGAAAATCGTGGCCTCCGACTGTGCCTTGCAGATCATTGAAACCTTGTTTGAATCTACTCTGGCTACCATGGCAACATATACAGACTGAATGGCTTCCACAACAGAAAAGTATTTTCTTATAGTTCTGGACACTGGAAGTTGGAGTCAGGGTGCCAACAGGGCTGGGTTCTTGCTATGGTCTCACTTGCAGATGGCCACCTTTCCTCACTTGCAGATGGCCACCTTCTCTCTGAGTCCTGCATGACAGTTCCTCCCTGTGTGCCTGCAAGCAATCTCTGAGGTCTCTCATCTTATAAGGGCACTAATTCTAACAGATTAGGGCCCCATCCTTATCACTTCATTTAACCTTACTTATTTTTTTAGAGGCCCTTCTCCAAAATATAGCAACCCTGGAAGTTAGGGTTCAGTTGGTTGGAGCATCATCCCATGCACCAAAAGGTTGCAGGTTTAATTCCCAGTCAGGGCACCACCTAGGTTGTATGTGGTTTGATCCCCAGTCCAGGCACGTAGGCCACAAATCAATGTTTGTCTCTCACATCAATGTCTCCCTCTCTTTCTCTCTCTTTCCTTTCATCCCTTTCTCTCTAAAAATCAATTTAAAAATTATCCTTGGGAGCAAATTATATATAAAGTTTGTAGATGGATTTTGGTGATGGTTGCACAACAATGCTTAATGCTGCTGAATTGTACACTGAAAAATGGTTACAATAGTAAATGTTATGTATATTTTAATAACATTTTACAAACAGTGATTCTGAGTGGTTCTTCACTGATCTTGCCTCCTACTGCTTCCCTATGTTGATCCCCACACTAGCCAGTGGCCTCTCTCCTCTGGCTTGACCATGTCCAATGTGTTTCCTCCCAAGATGCTCCTCCCCAACTGGCCCCAAGCTCATTCCACACCTTTCTTGAAGCCTTTACTCAGTTGCTGATTCTCTTTAAAATGTTAATTTTTATTCTCCTTCTCTCAGCATTTCCCTTCCTCATTCCCCTCTTTATTTTCTCCATAGTACACATCCTCTTCTAAAATAGCAATTCCCATTTCTTTTTATTGTATGTCTTGTCTAGCAGAAAGTCGGTAGCATCAGGGCAGGCCCTCCATGTGTTTTGAATGTTACTGAATCTTCTCTGCCTAGAGCACAGCCTGGCAAGTCAGAGGTACGGAATGCATATCTTTTGAATGAGTGAATGAATGTCACAGTTGCTTGTGTGTGTATCTGCCATTCTGTCTAACTGGAGAGTTCCTTGAAGGTAGAAACCATGTGGGGTTTTTTCCCCCCACCATTACATTTAAGAGCAACAAGGAAAAATGCATAGAAAAGTAGGTGTGCAATAAATATGGATGGATAAATGGACGGATGAATAATGGAGAAATGGATGATGGATGTATGAGTGGATGGATGGACAGATGAAGAGATAGATGAATGAATGGTTGGGTGAGGTATAGAGGAATGGATGGATAGATGGATGAGTGGATGGTTGATAGATGGATGGATGGATGGATGGGTGGATGATGGATGATGGATGGATGGATGGATGGATAGATAGATGGATAGATGGGTGGACGGATGGATGGATGGATGGTGCATAGATGGATGGATGGGAAGATAAAAAAATAGACAAGGATGGTTTTGGGCTAACGAGAGGATGATGTGACTATTCTAAGTCTGAAATGGGAGACATTATCTGATTGAGGGCAGTCTGCTGATGTGAACAAAGGTGTCTTGGGAGCATATTATTACATGAACCATCAGCTTCTCTTTGCTGTGGCCTCTGATCCATAGCTTTTGCCTTTACCCACATCTGCATGTGATAAAGCTTAGTTATGACGTCCATATGTCTCTAATGCAAACACCAAGGCATATACTTCTGAAAAGCGCTATAAAGAGCAATGGCTCGAGAAGCACTGCTGGGAGGGTGAGCTCTTTATTATTTTAAAGGGCATTTCAACGATGCTGCTGAGTGTTCCCTGGCCAGAAGTCTGACTCTTGTTCTCTCTCTCTCTCTTCCTCCTCTCAGGATATCAAAGCAGACTGCAATACCTGTGCGGAAATAGAGGACAGAAAGGTAAGTCGATATTTTTCATTGTCTTGGTTTCAAACAAAACAAGAACACGGTGATCTAAAGCAGTGTTTAAGACATGCCTTGCTGGAGGGTGGCTTACAGAGGCGATGTGCGTGCTGATGTTAGATACATCAAGACAATCATGCTTTATTTAAAAAAAAATTATTTATTTTTATTTTAAAAAATTAATTTATTTTTAAAGACCATCATGATTTAAATGGTTCATTGTACTCTTCCTTGCTCTGTGTTATTTCCGATGACTTTGATGAAGAGTGTATGATGCAATTTATTTTAAAAATTGGTGCTGATTGTAGTTGAATATGGTTGATTATCGTGTCCCATAGTGCATATTATTAAGTAATATTAAATAGAATATATAGGATGTATACTACAGTATTGGGGTTTTCTGGGTATGTTCTTATATTTGAAATATGCTCTTTGGGTGGAGAGAGTCTGCCTCCATGTCCATCCTGATGCAATAAAGGAGCGGCAACATCTATTTCCATGAGATGCTTGGGCAGCAAGAGGAGGACATTGCCTACACATTAGTGCTCCCTCCCTCCACCTTGCCTCCATTTATCTTCTTGCTGCATTTGGTATGGATCCCCTCAGGCAAAAGCCCTGGTAGACCTGGCTCCTCACTTTAATATTCCCATGGTCCCTCTTTATTGACAGGAGTTTGCAGAAGTTTCTGTCCAGAGTGCACCCAAGCAGATAACGTTGTACCTTTAATGCCTTGAATCCAAAGAGGTCAAATAAGGGGATTGAGGCCACACAGCTGCTGGCTGTGTACCAGGCGTCATCCCACACTTTCCAAAGATGTTTCTCTCTGCGTCTGTACCGCTGTTGTCCAATGCCGTCATTATTTCCAGCAGAGTTTTTCAGCCCTGATTTTGTGATAGCTCTGTCGTCTGCTGATGGGTAAGTTGGTGGAAATCGTCTCAACACAAAATTTTGCTTTTCAATAAAGGTGATTGCCATACATTACATTAAGGAGTATAACACATGGCAGCTTAAATCCCCTCTGTGTGATTTTCTCGGAGTTGGGGTTGGGTATTGCTCTGGCCGGCAGGCAAAGGTGTTTCCATTCAGGTTTGCATTCATGGCACGTTTCCTTGCTGGTTGCTTGAGTGCCTGTGCTTTGTGAGTGGGACAAACCGCCACTGGGGCTGATCACGTGTCCACGGGATTTTTCACTTGTTCCCACCAGCCCTGCCCTCAGTGAGCTGCAGCGGACAGTCGCCCACGGCAAGGTGAACACAGGCTTAGCCCTGCTTCCAAGTTCAGGATGTTTCTGTTCCCCTTTGGCTTTTATGGAATTCACAAACATGTGTGTGCCCAATACTTTTTCTTTTCTTTTTTGTTTTATTTAAACTTTCATTACCAGTAGTTTTTGAAAAATGCCAGGAGAACTGATGCTGTTAAAACAACATCAGTCCCATCACCAACAAGATAAATGAGCAACTCAGACAAGCTCGGGGCAGTGAGAGCTGGCCACAGAGCTCCATCCTGCCTCTTGGCGGCATCGGTCTCTTATGTCAGGATGAGAGCGACGCCCCAGGCCATGGCTGCTCTGTGGTGCTTACTGGTGGGGGAGTCATATTTATCATTCTGTCCAAGCTTCAGCTGTTTTCCAAAAATGGGTAACACACATGTACATGCACACATGTGTGTTTTTCTGCTTTGTCATGGATGGTGGGTTGAGTCAGACACTTAAAAGGAAGTCTTGTTTATAAATCATTCTTCTGACTCTAGGTGTTTTGGCTGAGTGGATAGAGTGTCTGCCTGCAGTCTGAAGGGTCCAGGGTTCAGTTTGGGTCAAGGGCACATGCTGGTGTTGAGTGCTGGAGTCAGCCAGTCAATGATTCTCTCTTATCATTGATGTTTCTATTGCTCTCTCCCTCTCCCTTCCTCTCTGAAATCAATAAAAACATATATGTAAAATACCATTCTTCTGTTGTTTCCTGAACTTGATATCATAGGATGAATGATACATGAATTAGCTCAACCTATGGCTGCAGTTGGTAGTGATGATTCCTAGAGATACAACTATTAGATACCTTAATATTTGGTCTGTTTTTACTGTCTTTCTCCCTGAGGACTTCGTCTTTCTTCTGTTCCACAGAGCTTTGCTTTCCATCTAGATTATTTCCTGATTTATTTATTTCTGTGACATGTCCATTTGGGATTGCTTCTCTGGGTTTCCTGATGTGATTGGTAGTGGGCCTTAGGTGTTGGAGGTAGTCTGTCTATGAAGGTCCTGTCTCTAATGAAAGTGTCAGGATGCAAAACCTAATCACCTGCCGGGACCGGTTTGGCTCAATGGATAGAGCGTCGGCTTGGGGACTGAAGGGTCCCGGGTTCGATTCCGGTCAAGGGCATGTACCTTGGTTGCGGGCATATCCCCAGTAGGGGGTGTGCAGGAGGCAGCTGATCGATGACTCTCTCTCATCGATGTTTCTGACTCTATCTCTCTCCCTTTCTCTCTGTATAAAAATCAATAAAATATATTAAAAAAACAAACACCTAGTCACCTAAGAGGGCATTCCCCCCCACACACCTCTATAGCAGAGGGATCCAGCCCTTCCCTCGTGCATGATGTGATGGCAGCCCTGGCAGCTGCAGTGACGTCACCCCAGTACTCCGCTACCCTGACGTATAATTATGGAATTTGCAGGAGTGGTGATGCTCGCTCCTGCATGTGTGTGTGTCTCTCCATGTAATCTGGATGCTTCTGGCAACATCAGTGATTTGATAAAGTGGAATTAAAGTGACAAGAAATGATAGAGGTGCCAAAATAATCATTGGGCCTGTGGCTGCAGAGGCTGCCTGTGGCCGGCAGGTTTTACAGAGCGAGAGCCGAGAGCATTGAAGGAGAGCGCACTTTTCTCTAAAGCCTCCTTCACTGAGAAGCTGATCAGGGGTCTCTAAGGGCTTCGTGGCTTCCCAAGAAAAACTCCCTTTTACCTTTTAAACTTGATTTTCTTATTTCTTTCACCTTCCCTTCCTTCTGGTCTCCCCAGGATGTACCTGCATGCTCACATCTATTCTTTGGGTGACTGTTGATAAGAGGACTTTAGGGAACACAGGGTCTCAGGTTTTCTCGGGAGTCTAACGTGTTCTCTCTGGCAGCCCCTCCCGTGTCACACCTGATCCTGTTGGGTGGGCTTTTTACCTGGAGATGACTCCCTTTCCCCTTGAATCCTAGACCAGATGTAATGAAGGGGGACAAACTGAACCTCGGGAGTGGAAGAAAGCTCTCATCATTGCATAATAAAGAAAATTGCTCTTCTTGGTCGGCACAGCCTGGGCTCAATCTGAGACTGTGGACAGAATGAGAGACGTTTCTTTTTCCTCCTGTGTTGTTCGGAGAACCTCGCCTGGTTGTTTATGAAGAAATGCACGGTGCACATTGGAACATGGTTTTGGTTTATGTTTCTCTTTTGCTCCTGAGACCACTGGTTAGCAGAGCCCTGGGAATGGACCTACCTTTGGATGGCTTTGGGCCATTTCTGGAACCCCCTGGAGATGCCCCAGGGTGACCTGAGAGGCTGGCCGCATTTGCACCTTGAAGTGGCAGGTAGAGGCACAGGCCGCTCCCTCTCACAGGGGAGCGCCACGGAGCTCAAGCAGGCTCAGCAGAGGGGACACCAGGCAGGCAGCTCATCACTCAGTGCAGCTCTAAGGCCCCGCACAACCGCACACGCCTGACATTTACAGCACCTGTGTTGCTGGTGGGGAACCGAGGCATTTAAATTCATTTTTATTTGTGGTGTAAAATGCGCCCGAATTCAATGCTATTATGAAGACTGCGATTCGGGTGATGAGAGGAGAGGCTGATGGATCAGTCAGGGGGAGAACCTGTCAGGAGGAGATGAGCGCCCATTTGTCAAAGGCGGTAAACACAGGCAGGCTCCCTCGCTTCGCTTGCTGACTGGCCTGGTGTGGCTAAGCAGTGTCAGAGCCGTGGTGAAATTGCAGGTATGGGGTCTGAGTGGTTTGCCAAGGGATGGCGACTCTCAGGTTAGGTCTGATTGAATGGGATCCTGACCGGGAGGTAGACCCCGTGGGTAACACAGAAAGTTCTGCGCTTTTCTTCTTGCAACAGGTCCCTCTAGCTCAGTCATTGCATGTACCTGCAGGTACTTAGAACAGCTGTGTGTGGAGGCACCAACATGCCTCACTGCACAGGTGAGGTTAAGTGACTTGACCGCAATCTCTCAAGTTGCATCATAGATCAGGATTTGGATTTTTTTCTTTCAGAGGCTATGCTCTTAGCTCTATTGCCTTATACATGCATTCACATGTATGCACATAACATGCACACACGTATACACAGAGATGATCAAATTTGTAGGATATGAGAATTGCCCTTTCCAATGGAAGAATTTGGACCTAGGTGAGTCTCTCCACCCATTGCTAAGTAAAGAATCTGTTTTTCAATTAGGGGACAAACTTTCAGCCCCTGATGTCCTGGCTCCTGCTAGCTTGCTGTAAATTCACCATCCCCTCTGCTGCACTCCTGGCACCTGCTCTGGTCTTGAGGGCAAGAGATAGTGGCTTCAGAGCACAGTTCTGGCTTCAGTTTCCCAAAGACCTGGTTTGGTTCCTAGCCTGTGCTTTGCCAGCAGGGTATCCTACAAGACTTGGAAGAAGTTCCACACTCAAAGCAAATGCGTCAACAAGATGCAGTAGTTACTCCCACAGATGGGAGCTAGGATGTCCTGGTCTTTTGTCCTGCTTCACCTCCTGAGCAGCTTTCTTCCCTTGCCCCAGTCTCCACGTTTCCTGTCTGTGATTTGGAGATAATAAAATCAGCTTGAACTTTTCAAGTTCATCTGAGGAATTGAGAAGATAACACTGCAAAATAGTCCATGTGATGTCTGCCACATAGTAACCCAACCAGCAATAGCTACTTTTGTTTGCGTATCTGCTAATGGCCACACCACAATGACAGGCATTCCATGTCATTTCTAAGGAAACTAGAGGCCCAGTGCACGAAA